ATGCTGACAGCAGAGAGCCTGATGCAGGGCTAAACTCATGAACCAGGAAATCATGACCTGAGCTGAAGTCAGATGCTTAACTGACTGAGCCACCCAGGTACCCCTTATTTTTTTTAATTAAATGCTTATTTATTTATTTTGAGAAAGAGAGTGAGTATAAATGGGAGAGGGGCAGAGAGAAAGGGAGAGAGAATCCTAAGCAGGCTCTGCACTGTCAGCACGAAACCCTATGTGGGGCCTGAACCTGGGGACCATGATCACTACCTGAGCCAAGAGTTGGACGCTTAACTGATTGAGCCACTCAGGCCACCGAAAAATGTCTCATTGATAAAGGAAAATTATGAAAAATTGTTTATGCAATCCCATGACTGAAACATATGGACTGTTTTCATTATGACTTTTTCTTGTTGTAACTATAGTTTTTATATAATTTAATGTTTTGCTTTTTTAAAAAATAAATTCATACCTAATTGTAAATACTTACCTGTGTTGCTACATAGTACTCATGATTATTAGTTTAATGGCTGCATAATTTTCTTCCAGATGGGTGAACTATAGCCATTTTCCAATTGTTAATCATGTGCATTGTTTTTAGTTTTCCATTATTATAAATAACACCATGGTTAATAACTTTCCGCGTATAGCTTGTTTTACAAAAGTCTTTTGAATTCTACATTTTCTTAAGATAAAATCCCAGGAATGGATTACTTTGTCAAAGGGCATTGTATTAGTCTTAGATTTACCCTAAGGAGTTGGCTCACATGATTATGGAGGCTGACAAATCCCAAGACCTGCAGTCGGCAAGCTGGAGATGCGGGAGAGCTGATGGTGTGGTTCCAGCCCAAGTCCAACAGCCTCAGTACCAGGAGGGCCAATGATTTAAGTAACAGTCTCAGTCTGAATCCAAAGGCAGGAGAGGAAAGATGTCTCAGCTTAAAAAAAATTCAAGCAGAGAGAGAGAATTCTCTTTTATTCAGCCTTTTATTCTATCCAGGCCTACAATGAGTAAGATGAGGTCCACCCACATTAGGGGGGGCAATCTGCTTTACTCAGTCTACCAATTCAGATGTTAACCTTATCAGGTATACTGAGAAATAACGTTTAAACAAATAGCTGGTTGCCCCATGCTGACACAGGTTTGAACATTTTTTTTTTAAGTTTTATTTATTTATTTTGAGAGCAAGTGAGAGCAGGGAAGGGGCAGAGAGAGAGGGAGAGCGAGAATCCTGAGCAGGCTCAGCTTGGATCACGAACTGTGAGATCCTTGACCTGAGCCAAAATCAAGAGTCAGATGCTTAACTGGTTGAGCCACCCAGGTGTCCCCAGATGTGAACATTTTAATGGCATCTTGCTTTTTAGGACTGAGCATACCCATAAACTCACGAGCTTTGAGTGTGATCATTTGTAATTTTTGCTAAAGGCGAATGATGGTATTTCAATGCTATTTTAATCTACATTTCTTATATAGTATCTCCCCCACCTCATTTTATTTTTAAAGTAAGGAAACTGAGTCCAAAAGATTAGCTGGATAAATGATCTAGTTAATGACACAGCCAGGACTAGAACCCATGATCCCTGCTCCATCCAGCGTTCTTTCCAGTTTTCCCAGGACCATATCGTCTGTTTGGTTTGACTGTAAGCAAGTCCTGGTTCTCCTGTCCTTTTTTGTGTGTAGCAAACTGTCTACAGTGATCCATGCCCTCAATGATTTCCTGCCTCCTAGTGTTCATGCCTTTGTGTAATGCTTCCCAGTGAATGCAGGCAGGACCTGTGACTTGCTTCTAACCAAGAGAATATGGCAAATATGATGAGAGTTAATCCTGTGATTACAGTACATTCTATAAAATTTTTTGTCAGTAGACTGGAACAAAAGATTCTCCTTGCTGGCCTGATGAAGTAACTGGCTATACTGAAGGAACCCGCATGGTGAGGAACTACGCGTGGCTTATAGGACCTACAGGTGGCTTCCAACCAGTGACTACAAAAAGCCAGGGTATTCAAACACGGAGCTCTAAGGAAACAAATTTTAGCTTGAGAGGAGATTCTTCCAAATGTAATTGACCCTCCAGATGGAAATGCAGCTGGCCAACACCTTGGTGGCACGCATGTGAGACCTTGAGCTAAGGATGCAGTGAGGCCACGCCCAGACTCCTGGCCCACGAAAACCATTATATAATACGTGTGTGTTGTTTTAAGCCATGAAGTTTATGGTCATTTGCTGCACACCATAGAAAATTAACATAACTTGCTTCTTGGAAAACTTTGTATTTTCTTATTCCACTACTCTAGAAAAGTCTGCATTTCCATTAGTGAGTCCAGTCCAGAGAAAAGTTAACATAGTTTAGTGAATACATATGACCCATTCATTTATCTTGTGTGAATTAGTAACTAAGAGATCCAGCATACTAGTGAATTCATGTTTATATCTGTCTGACACGTTTGTGCAAACAGTTCGAATCAACAAATCAAGGGTTTGCTATCTTCGTGTCATTTCATGACATCCCCCACTTCAAATATTCTGAGGCTTCAAGAGAATAACTCAGAAAAGAAGCAAAGACTAACTCAGCGACAACGAAATAGAGCTTTGGGGATTTGCTCATATATAGGGATATATGCCAGAGAATGGCCCGTGGAGATGATCACTCTCCAAACAAAGGGGCTTATGAAGGCAAAAGCCAAAAAGTTTCACAAGTGATGGGTCAGTTTAGACAAGTCCTTGGCTTGTTGATCCAAAATGGGTTGATTGCTAAACCCGAAAGTCCTTTCTTGAGTATAGATAGCAGTCACAGAGTCCTATCAGGCTATTCTCATTCTAACCAGTTTTCTGGGAAGCAGTTGCCCTGGCTCCTTCTTCAGGGGTGCTAACTATTTGCTGCCTTACACCCTTCTGGTGCGCTTAGTGGGCAAGTCTTATGCGCACACTCAAGGCTCAGAAAAAAATTTCCTTTTTTTTTTTAAACCACTTTATTGACGAATGATTGACATACAAAAAGCTGTACATATTTAATGTGCACAACTTGGTGAGTTTAAGATGCGACTGTTTTTTGTTTTTTTTTAAATTTACATCCAAGTTAGCATACAGTGCAACAACGATCTTAGGAGTAGATTCCTTAATGCCCCTTACCCATTTAGCCCATCCTCCCCCAACCCCTCCAGCAACCCTCTGTTTGTTCTCCATATTTAAGAGTCTCTTATGTTTTGTCCCCCTCCCTGTTTTTATATTATTTTTGTTTCCCTTCCCTTATGTTCATCTGTTTTGTCTCTTAAAGTCCTCATATGAGTGAAGTCATATGATTTTTGTCTTTCTCTAATTTCACTTAGCATAATACCCTCCAGTTCCATCCACCTAGTTGCAGATGGCAAGATTTCATTCTTTTTGATTGCTGAGTAATACTCCATTGTGTATATATATATATATATATACCACATCTTCTTTACCCATTCATCCATCAATGGACATTTGGGCTCTTTCCATACTTTGGCTATTGTTGATAGTGCTGCTAAAAATTTCCTTTCTTGATTAGCATAGTGGATTGATAGGGAGTTGGTTTCAAGGGAGTTTCAATTTA